GCATTGTTAATCCCCTTTTCTTCGAAAGCTAAACGGATATTAAAGAACATTATCTCTCTTCTTTAAATCATGTTTTATTTTATGCTGTCACAGTGGGAATTTGCTCATGTTAAGTTAAGGATGTAATGGTTATTTGCAGATTAACAAGCATATGTTATTTAAAGCAGTTGCTTATAACTAATGATAATTATTATCTTATTGTATTATATTCTTATATTGTATTTTCTCAATAATATAATTATCTTCTTATTGTATTATATTTTTGTATCTTATTGTACTGAATATTATTATTATATCTTATTGCATATTTTACTTGTATAAACCCTCGTTATTAAATGAAAGAGTGATTTTAAAGGGAAGAAGCAACAGTCAACAGCTGAACTTCAAATAATTTATCCATTTTTTAATCCATCAATGAAACATGCAGTAATTTATAATATTTCTAATTTCTATATCACACACTTTTTCCAAACAATTTGAAATTTATTTACACTCTTGAAGTTTTCGAATATCACATCTTAGAGAAATTCTTCTCAAAAATATACTAATCTGTAAAGAAGACTTTTATACAATAACCATACTATACTAATTGAAACATCATGTACATTGTGGGTGCATTCACAGCTGTGAATCACATATGTTAACGCAATGAAGTGCAAGTTACAAGCTCTTTACAATCATGAAACATGAAGTTTTATACATATACAATTTCACTAAAATAATACCAAACTGACTTAAAATTACATTCTATTTTTTTTCAAGAAAACATTAAATTTCATTTGATATATTCTAGATATGATGTCTTAAATAACTTATTTTTGACTAAAAACAAAACTTTTCACTTATTATTAAGCAGCTGGGTGAAGAACTTCACTGGTAAAATACTTACATTTCAAGGGATTTTACTTATCACTATTTTATGTAGCGACAGAGTTTGCACAGTTAGTGAATGAATTTATATTAACCACAGGAAAATAATTCCAACTTATAACTACATTATTATCTTATTAATCTATTAACAATTTACTAGATTGTGAGAGACAAAAGATAATGTAACACTTGCTGTAAAGAAACATATCACAAACATGCACACACATACGGGCATGTTTCGTTTTTCATTAATCTGTATTTTTTCCTGATTTTACATTACTAATGTCATGTCTTTAATTAATTATAAATAATTATTCTCTCGAGTATTAGTCTGCAACTACTTTCAGATTTCACAAATATAATTTCAATATTTAGGAAGTGGGTTTAAAATTGGAAAAGCTTTCTAAATTCTACTTGTTTAATACTATTTTAAATTTTCACATTTGTTTCTAGTTTACTGCCTCGAGATATTGTTACTAATTTAGGATATATGTTTAAATATCTACTAAGCTCCGAAACGCTCAAGTAGCTGACAGAATTACGCATTAGAGTAACTTGACTACAGTTCCTTATAATCACTTATTCATATCCTTGAATTTGAAAATCATTGAGAATTTTAAATTATTCAGTCAAAACAATGAAAAACAAACAATACCCTGAGATGATGTCAAAGTGTTTTAAAAACAAAGGGATATTAATGCAAATTCGTCACATTTACGTCAAAGTAATTAAAAAATAAGTAGAGTTTATGGATTACTATTGCATAAAAGTAATAATTTGATATTAGGTTGATATTCCGTTTTATTATTAAACGTTTAGGAAACTGTTTCATGTGAATAGTTAACATATTATAAAATGCTGTATAAATGTTTAATAATTTTTAAAAATAAGACCTTTAAGTCTACAGTTTCGGGGCTTAGTCAGATTTTGATATTTAATTAAAAACGTTATTTATGAAACCTATTTACATCAAAAGAGATTAATATTGCTTGATGTATTTAAATAATACACGTGTTTGCTACGCTATACCATCCACATCATTTACTATTATTAGAGGAAAAGAGAAAAAATGTGCATATTACTAGCAAGTTGAAAACAAAGAAAAACACACAGATCAATTCCGCATTAATATTTTTGTTAAATTTGTACTAATAGGTGATGGAAACATTTAAAAAATATTACACCATTACAAAATAAATGCGTCATAATAAATATTTAAAATTTTCTTCAAGCCGGTTACATTTTCTTCAGTTGCATATTACATAGTAGTACATGATTGTGTATAACAGCTGCGACATGATAAGCGAAATGATACTCATGCATTGACAATATAATGTGTTATTATTTGATGTTTTTTAGCAGTTTCAAGAATTTCACTCCTTAAAAACACAATGAATTAATACGAGAGGTTATACTGTTTTAGAATGGGAATTACTTTGTTAGTGAGATCATACGTGATTTTGTGATTTCATGCATGGCTTTGAGAAGATGTTCAATTTCATTGTGTGAATCTTTACAGAATCAAATATCTTTCAAACGAATATTTTTAATCGTAAGCTGAAAATGGATTTAAACTGAAAATTGAATTTTAATTGAATACATATAGTTTTCTATTGTAGTATTTTACCTAATCTGATTAATGTCTTTGTGAATGAACAATGGAATAAATTTTACTCCCAAAATCGTGCACTTTGACATTCCATTCCCAAACATCAAAAGAAAATTGTGGGAACATAGAACATTATACAAAGGCAAGCACAGAACGACTATTTTTAAAAGTTTCTTTATAAATGGATTGAATCAGATGTGTTATTTGCGATTTTCCTCGCAATTTTTGCATTAAGGGGCTTTAATATATACATTCTGTTCAAAGTAGACTTCAGAATTTTAGCAACAATCATTTTTGATCGTATTTTGAAACTTATAGTGTTTGGCCCCGATAGACTATAAATTCCGCCGTCTACCCTTGAATAATATTTGGAGGAATTACAGTACTAGGAGGATTTCATTTAGCATACGTATTTATACCCCTTAAGAAGAAACGAAAATAAATGACAATATCCTTTGTTACTAGCCATTTCCTGGTAACTGCGAAAAAAAAAAGAAAGTGAGTTACAGCTTTAAAATGTTGCTCTTGCCAGTTTCAAACATGCTACGTTCATAAAAGCGGCCGGCAAATAAAAAGAATGGTAATACTACACTCAAGCATTTCTTAATTATGGATTGTGCTTCTAGGCCTTATCAGCTGAAGATTTCTCCCGCCTACTTCTCTAGTACCAAATAGGTACAGCTGTTTTTTTTTTTCAGTGATAATTCGTGTGCGTTCCACTCTCAGTGTATTGCGATTATTGTGATGCACGGTTACAAAAATAAAGAAAGTGTGTGAAGTTTTGTTTCTTGTTAAGAAAAACGTCAGCTGAAGCCATTGTTATATTTCGGTAAATCATTAAAGATTATGCTTTGAGTAAATAAAGACTGATTTTCCAGTTCAAAAATGTCGAAATTTTATATGAAGACTGTTTTGATTTGAACATTCAATGACAAGCATAAATTATGAAAATATTTAGAAGTTCCAACAGGAAGATCACCAAAAGATCATTTTCAGGGTTACTGAAGAAAATCTCTTCGTCCGTTAATTCATGGGGGAGAACAAAATGATGCTTGCCTCTTACTTGCGTTACTCGCCAAATCTTGCTCAGTGCAGCTTTTCTTTGTATTCACTGGTAAAGAAAGCTTTCAAATAGTGCAGTTAGTTCAATTAGCTCAATTAGTTTAGTGGATAGAAAGAAACATTTAATAGCTAAAAAAGCAATTCAGTGATTTAGATGAGGTAAGAAAAAAATATTTGCGTACCTTGAATAACATTTCGAGTCCAGAGTTCTAGAATTATTTCCGTTTCCGGCAGGAAGGAATAACTTTGAGAGAATTAGATATATGATGTTGATGGAGAATACTTGGAAACAGGATTAAATATGTAAGCACAAAAATTGAATATAATTGCATGAAAATAACTCTGTTTAGGTTTTGGGGGGTATCTTTTTCCACATTATAAAACATGACACAAATACATCATCACTTTGAACTTTCTAGCCTTAAAGAACGTGTCATTATAAACCTAAGTTTCCACCGTCCGTAAAACAACAATAGTGCTGAATAAAACTCACTCACGAATTTAAGATTCGTTGGCTTTTAATTATTCGTAATAATACTAAGCCATTGTCTTGGTACTAATGCCCAGATATTGCGAAATTCGCAAAAGTCAGACATTCTCCTAGCTTAAGAACTAACCGCTGTCCTAATTGTAACCTTGCTGCAATTCTACTACATTACCTTTATTGCATAGCATTTGGAGAGAAAGCTCTTAGTCAGAAAAAAAAAATAACAGCGATTAAAAGTTGTTTCTTAACAAGAGATTTGTGAAACTGAAAGATGCATTTTTAGAAATGAGAACTTGCTGAATAAGAAGTCAAAGCATTAACGATGGCCTCCATGCCAGATTAAGCAAATAAGATATACAAAAGCTACGTTTCCCAAACATCGCCGTGAAGTAATGCTACTCATTTTATTTTATTTTCGTATTATAATGGTTTAACTTTCAGAAAATGATAAAGCATTAATTATCATAAAAGAAATCAATTAATGTGGGGAAATGTTCTCATTACTAGCGGCTACCTTTTAAGAGTTTGTCATTTCCGAAATGCAAATCACAAGTTTATACAAAGAAAATAAAGGGAAAAGGGAATGACATACTATCTAATATTAAACTACGAGATATTTACGAGAATCACATGTTGTTTATACATTTCCATTGCACGATTAAATATTAAACCTACTTCAAGGCAAGTGTGTGCTGAAAAATCTAGATATAATATAAAGATGTTAAATTCTGTATTGCTATCACTTGAGTAAATCTATCTGACAGTCGGTACAAGAAGAGAACATTCGCAAAATAGAGGAATCTAGTAGCTGAGATCTAGTGATACATGTATAAAACTACAGTTTGACTTTCAGTCATGCTAGTAACCTTCTAGTGATGTGAACACCAAAGATGTGCGGATATTTGCAATTAATATTTCATTTGTGTTATGTATTATCAGATATAAATAAACCAAAGTGAAGCTGGTTTGTATAACTGATATGAAAAATTCTTTCATGTAACAAACGAACATTTAAATAAAACTCAGGAAGTTATAAACGTAGAGCCAGATACACTATTAAACATGGATTTCGAATATTTTTTATATTTACATTTTAGTCTTAAGGTAAGAGGCATTCACTTTGATTTATTTAAAAACAGCAGATCCTCAGTTGATTTCACTTGCTATCAGGGCTGTTTCATTTATGAAAATGTGCCAGTTATGCTTCCAGCTCTCTTAGAAACTGTGGTGTTAAAATAAAAGTTTAGGAAAACTATTCATTTCAAATTGAATGAATTTTGAAACTAATTAAATCTACGGTTCTTGTTAAGAGGGAAATTAAAAGGAGTCTGGTGTGCTAAGCATTTGTAGAGGGTTTCAAAAACATCTTCTGTAGGAAAATCGACTGTGATTGCAAATTGAGTGCATTTAAAATTTTTTCCAGGAGATATCGCTGGGAAAGACTAAAGACTATGGGTAAATGATCAATATATAAGGAACAGAATTAACAAAATCAACGACTGTGTAATGAATGAAAATAGTAGAATGAGTATCTATCATTTCGTAGAGTGAGTCAATATATATTCTAAAGAATGATCGACTGTCATCGATTAATCTTGTACAAACAATTTTCGTTTTTAAAAAAAAAAAAAAAAAAAAAAAAAAAAAAAATGTCGATTGACTAGAATTAACGTAACGATTGTTTTGACATTCGAACCTGAATTTGAAATTTTCAAGTACAAATGGTTACTTTTTCACTCGAATTAACAAAACGTCTGTTTTGACGTTCAAACATAACTTTGAAACACTCAAGCCAAAATTGTTGGCTTTGACATGAATTAACAAAACGATCGAGCGTGTGTTGAGAAAGAAGAAACGTTGCCATTTCAGTTTAATCTTGCACAATGCTAAAAGTATTCAGGGAATCTAAGTTCGTTAAAGTAAGTTAAAAAATTAATGTAAAGTTTGGACCTACTGCAGCAATAAGAAAAACTGTGATCTTTGCAAGAATTACCATTCAAAAAGGAAAGGTCAACATAGGAGAAATATTGTTTAACCATAATTTAAGGTATTTGAAAAGTCCTATTTTTCAGATATTACTTTTATCAGGAGAATTTGAATCTGAAGTTTGTAACGAGAGTTTCTACACATAACTTTCTGCTGTTCTCTCAAAAGTACTGAAAGAACAATGATTTAATGTCATGAATGCAAATAAAAATATGTTTATGGATAAAAAAGAAAGTTTACAAATGTGTATGTGCATATACATATGTATCGTACGCAAGGGAGAAACTTTTAAAGCTAATTCTATGTTATCTATTTCTATGTCAGTTGTATTTTGCATATAAATGCATATATCTGAATTTGATCTCTATTTCAGGTAGTAATAGGTTTTGTACCTTATGCTATGAAATCACGTTCCATGGAACAAATCCACACAAATTTACACTTAAATTTACAAGAGAATGATTCACGTTTCATCGATTGCGGCTCAGTACGGAATGAGTTAACAGTATTCTAGGTAATGTACTGGTATATATGTAAATGATATCTGTCAGTATTTGATATGAATGAGTCTTTGTTATTTTCTTTGTTACATATTACAACTATTACTTTATCTCGCATTTCTCTTCGTTCTCTTTCATACTCAAGAAAACTACAACTATAAAGTACTACATTTTCACAAGAATTTAGATAGTTCTTATGATTCAAATTACTAGAGGAATATGCATAAATACAAATAATGTTTCTCTATATCATTAAAGACAGAGAGGTTTTTATTACACTTTGGAGATAAAGAATTTCTTTTAATACTCTTGAATACTTAAGAAACGTAAGCGTAAGATCAATCAAGTATTCAAATCTTTACCATAGTAATATTATCTGCTTCTCATTCCGTACAAGATAATATTACGTAAAAGTAAATAATGTTTAATTCTAATTTGTGTCTAATACTGAACATGCTGCTATTGATTCTGATTCGTATCTATACATTGCGGTATAGTAAAATGATTCTGTTGTGTAATTTGAATCAGAAATCTGCCTATAAAATTATAATGATTTCATGAAATTAAACAGATCTAATGAGAAAATTACCGAAGAAAAGCATGATACAAATTTTGTTGGCACAGTTTTGTTTTTGGAAGAGATATAATCATTATTTATCATATACAGGAAGCTTTCCTTGAAGCATTTGATAAATTTATCAGTAAAAGGTAAAATAAGAATTATTTTTACCTTTTACCTCAAAAAGTAATAAATATTTTCACAGCATTTAATCACTGTAAACATGTCAAAGAATTTGATACATTCATATTTTTAAGAATTTCCAGAAAAGCAATTATTTTCTATTTATATTTGCAAGAAAATTTAAATAAATTAGCATTCAAAAACAGTTTTAAGAAAATGTTTTTCAGTCAGCCAAGAATAGTCATTGAGGGGGAATATAGCTTCATATTCTCATAATAAATGTACTTAAATATGCTTTCACAATCAAACTTACTATTTAAAAAATAATGAACTGTTTACAGAAAATTTTTCTCCCAATGGCTTGTATCAAAATTGCCATTTAGTTTCAATAACTGAATCGAAATCTCTTCCTTAGTGTTGCAGTTGATTAAACATGTCTAGTTAGGAAATACACTGAAAAAGACAGGACAGGCATAATATGTTCATGGAAAACTTGACTGATAAAAATCCTGTCACGAGCTCTAAATATCGTTGGATGCACAAATTTCAGCGATGGGTCACAAAATAGTGTCAAGCATGAAGAGACTTTTCGTGCGTAGTTCATCCTAAAGGATAAAGAGAAGCAAAGTTTAATTAACAGTATTTAAATATTATTTACTGACTTAAAGTTCGAATTCATAATTTATGCAATCATATTAAGAACATCAAACTCACATTTTGGAGATAGCTGTTACTACTCATTTTGAAACCAGAACTGAAATCAGTACACATTATTTATATAGCAAGTAATAATATATTTCGCTACCCAAATGCAGTTTGCTAGGTTTTTGCGAATAGCGCAAAACTTGAATATAGATCTTTGCTTAAAAATGCGAGAAAAGAGCAAACATACTAAAAATATGTAGCAAACATTCATCTGCTACTATTTACATTCATTTGCATCACAAGAGATGAATGGAATGTGACCTTATTATATTAGTATTATTATTATTATTATTATTATTATTATTATTATTATTATTACTATTATTATATACTATTATTATTATTATTATTATTTTATTATTATTATTATGATTATTATATTATATTATTACTATTATTGATTAGATTATTATTATTATTATTATTATTATTATTATTATTATTATTTAGTAGTAGTAGTAGTAGTAGTAGTAGTAGTAGTATTAAAGAGGTAATTGGTTTCATTCAACATGAGATATATAATAAAATTAAATTTCTTTATAAATGCAAGGGAAAATAAGTTAAATATATAAATGTCAAACTTTCTGATTTCAAATTTTCATTTGATTTTAATGTAATATTTACACGTGTGTTTATCGTATAATTTATAGTTAAGAAATTATTTTTTTAGCATACTTTACTTTGTTTTCGTAAAGCTGAAGAAAATTTAAAAGTGTACGAGTTTAGATATATGTGAGGAAGGTGTACAACATAGAAAGTATTTTTGACTTAACAAAATGTAAGTTTCAAACGACTTCAATAAATAAAGGAACTTTCTTTTAAAGTTTATAAAGTCTATAATGTTTTTTCGAAACATGAATCAGGAAAATTCAGTAGTGCCGTTGTCGGAATTTGAGCCATGTATGCTTCACCTGCACTTGCTACGAGTTGCAACGCAATAGCATGTATAACAGAATACTGTAGGTTCTTAATTTAATTACTAACTAAAATTAATTTTTCATATATAATAGCAATCAAAATTACGTTTATTTTTCACCTGGAAGTTCATGTTTTTCTTTCATTTCTATCTTTAATACTGTTTATTCTGAGCTTTGGGCAATTTATGTGGTTCATCGAAAAAAAGTAATCAACCACATGCTAATTGCTATACACGTCCTTCTATTAATTTAGAAAATGTTACATGCAGAAGAGGGAAAAAACTGTTAAATAATACATTGCACAGAAGCACTTGCAAATAACAAACAAATGACATCAATCGGCGTTGTAGTTTTCTTTTGGAGATAAAATAACTTTCGTTTCATTCCCATTCTTTCTGCACAGAATGTTCTCTACTGGCCATATACAGGAAACAAAATATATTGTTTAAACTTTAGTAAAGCTATCAGGTATTGCCCCCCTTGTTTGCATGCCTTCGTGGTGTAATGGTCAGCACACGCGGTGCGTATTCGAGAGGTTCGTGGTTCAAGTCCCGGCGAGGGCATTGCTCATTTTTCACAAATCCTGCTTCAAAAAATCCTATTGTCTATACAAAGCTTAGGGTAATTCTCAAATATTAAAGGAGTAATATAAAAATATACATTCGTACGGGTAATGTTAAAATATGTACCTAATAATATAAAAATATTCTTTGTTTAATGTACTTAATTTTCCATTCTTTAGTTTTAAAGGGATTAAAGTTAATTCGTGATGTTAAGCCTTGATATTGCTGATTTTGTGAAGTTTTCCATACTAGTCTTCAATAAAGAAAATAGACAGCTTTGAGGTGGAAAACATCAATAAAGTCTCTCAAAAGAGTAGCCACGGGTAATGGCTGGAGGTCCAATCGTTTCACTTCTCTGTGTAACATTTTACTGGGTTTAAAATACATTTTAATTGCGATATTTATACCATTGTGTTTTGTGGTTTCAATTTGAATTTTATCAAGGAGAAATTGCAGCAAAAATATCCGAAATGTGAGAACAAAAAGCTTACTTTTTGACACCATTCCATGAATTCGTCCAAAGTCACTACGCCATCTTTGTTAGAATCAATTTGCTGTGGATGAGAGAGAAGACATTGAATTATAGAGGAGAACCTAAGTTTCATACGCACTGTCGTTTAGTGCACTGCATGATTTTAATAAAGAACATGAAAGTACAACTAATAGAAACAAAAATTTGCTTTATAAAATTAATGGAATAAATTTATATAAAGTTTTCTTTATGTTTTTGTTGAAGATTTCCAAAAGGTTAAGAATCAAGTACACCCTTCTTTTAAATAAATTAATTACACATTCTTTCTTGGAAATCTTTTGGCCTGTTTTACCTCTGTATAACTGTTCCTTCTCTTTCTTCTCACACAAGATAATCTTGAAGACTCTAAACCTAAGTTTATTTTAATTATTATTGTAGGGAAATATAAAATTTTTATTCATTATTTTAGTAAACCCTAACTTGACTAATTTGAATTTTTATATAGTTATGTTTATATTTCAATTATGTAATTGAGAAAACATTTATGTCCATACTTCATGATTAATAACGTTGATAGCTTTATACAATACTAAAGGCCAGTTTTTTTGGAATAGCTGTAATCCATTGGCTATGGTTTATTGCATTTTAATAGCTTATAGGCTGCATAGATAATGGCCGACACTTGAAAACAGCCGTGGCCGTCACTACGTAATTTTTATAGCTTGATTAAGCAATTCTTTAGATGCAATATCTGATTCACATCATTATGGGTGTAATATGCACTCACAATTCTCAAAGCTTAGCTTAGTTTCAGACAATAGACGATACAGAGAAATAAACGGGGTGTGTTAAGAAGAGCAAAGGCAAAGCGAAAAAATGGTTACTCACTTAGAAGAATCGTGAGATAGAGACTCAAACTTTTAGCCCTCGAAAAAATTATTGGCTATAACATATAACTCCGCTGTACCTTACGTAAGATGATATGAAACGGATTAATTTTGCAATGACACAGTATAGAAAAATTATTATAAACAAGTACTCTTTTTAGAATAGATTTAGAAAATACCCAAACTAAAATCAAGAATTAAGGGGCTACTGCTAATTTAAATTATAATTTGGATCTACATACATATTCTCCACCTTTAAAGGGAGAAAGGCTTAGTGACAAAAAAGCCTTTTGAGACAAAAAGTATTAAAAAACAAAACAAGAGAAATATAATTTGAAAATACATAACATAAAATTTTAAATAAAATAATTGTTAAATAATTGCAAACTATAAGTAATAAATTTTTGAGTTAAATAATAATTTTAGTACTGTAGAACATATGTTTTGTACACTACATTTTTAGAGTCCCATTATGATTTGAATCTAATCTGGAAAATATTCTTGTGTCTGGAAAGTAAGTATGACAATTTTGATTCTTCAGGGAAGGATTTCCAAAACTTTTTCAAAGAGTATCGCAATTAAAAAAATGTATACCCCCACTACGTATCTTAAATAATTATAAATCTCAAAATTGATCAATAAATCTCAGATCACAAATCCAAAATCAAATCTTCTGTCAATAAATCTCAAAACTTTATACCACACTAATTTTCATAATAATGCCACATTAATTTTCACTAACATTTTAACATCATAAATTTTATCTTTTTATAGAAATTATTTTTCTTTTGTTGCTATTTCATTTGTAATTCTATGTTTCACCCGTAGCTGGAAGACCCCCCACAACTTTCTTCAAATGCAAACATATCCATCTTTTGGGCATATTCGCTATAGCTGACTGATTTATTAAGATTCATCAGTAATTAAGGGGAGCTAGGCTATTATTAATAAAGGCCTTGTAGGTATATGATACCCAATCACTTCTTCTAGAACCGAAACTTTGACTCTAAATCACACTTCTTCTAAATGAGTAGCCTTTTTCCGCTTTGCTTTTGCTATTTCAAACATTCGCAGCTCACTTCTTTGTACCGTCCATTGTCTGAAGATGGACTAAACTTTCATTCCGGGGTGCATATTGCACCCATAATGATATGAATCAGATACTGCATTTAGAGAATAGCTTCATCAAGAAATAAGAATAGTGAGCTGAATCTTCGGCGACGTCTGTCTTCAAGTATCATCTTTTTATCTATACAGTAATGAATTTCCACTAATATAAATATTATAACACTAATTTTCTTAGATTATTATTATCCTTTTTTTATTCTACGGTTTAGCTATAAATTAATGAGAAACCATATTAGATTTTTGTCAAAAAATACTGTACTCGTGATTCTAAAGCATTATTCTGATTCACTTCAAGTAAACTCAGTTTTTTCTTACACAGCTTTCAAATTATAAATTATACACATAATCAATATTCTTTTTTTCATAAAAACATTATAGCAGTTAAATTTTATTATTTCAGTTAAATCAAGGAAAATTTAGCAAACTATTTTATTAATTTCATTTCGATATGGAAATTATGAACTTATGGAAAAAGTTATGGATTAGAAGATAAGTAATATTACTATTATTGACCACTGGCAGTGTCAATGTTTTCGAAGTAGTTCGTTTTACTTCAAAAGAAATTATTTTAAAAGAACTTATTTCATTTACTTTTACATGCTTACTGCGCTATTTACTTTAACATGCTTAAAATAAAATTACAATCTTTTTAATTTACGAGCGCTAAAAATGTGCTAAAAATCATCAGGCTAAATATGCTCATTTACATAAAATATCCATGAATACATGAGCCTTACATGAAATATCTTCTCTACGTGTTCCTTAGCGGAGTGTTCCGTGACAGCAGGATCTGTGTAATGGCCCAGCATGTCATATATGGCACTGACTATGTTCAGCATTTCTTGTTTGGTAATATAGCCATCGCCATTGATGTCGTACAGACCGAAGACCCACTTCAGCTTGTCAACGACACTACCTCTTGACAGCAGGGAGAGGATACTGAGGAACTGCTATTTTGGGAACAAATTTCATAATGTCAGTAATATACTGAAAAGGACTAATAAAATATTCAGGTAAAGTAAGAAAACGTTCACATTTAATAACAATTTCAGAAAAGATACGATTTTTTACGTTTTATTTGTGATATTTTTTAGTAAAGAATAATAAAGATTTTAAATTTGAAGAGTATATTATTTTGATATGAAATGTTAAATGAGAAACGAAAGTGCAACTGAAATCTAAGCTTTTTGAAAGAACCAATATTTTATCTTAGTGCTTTAATGGGAGTCTAGAAATTTCTAAATCTAGAAATTTGATAAATTTTAGTCTCTTGCCTTATTTTTTTAATCGAAAAACATTTTGAAATTGCGATATAATTTTTAATATGTACTAAGGTAACAGTAAAATATCACGCGAATTTATTTCTCATGGTTAATGCTTTTGATTAAAATACCTCATTTTGAATGAAAATTAAAAGACGCAGATTTATTTTGCCTTACGGATTTCGCTGATAGAAAAAAAGTGGATTATGCGAATTCTCGAGAAACAGTTGCATAACACTTTTATCCATGTTTGAAAGTGGACATGCTACTGATCTACTGAAAACAATTTGTGCTTAAAAATAAATGTTTTGACACAAAAGCCGGCGAAAGGGACGGGAATTAAGTTTGCTGTCAATTAAATATGACAGAAATGACTATGAAGGTACACTGTGAGGGGGCATTTTCTTAGCCTGGAATGGTAAATTATTTTACGAATTGCCTCACAACTTTGATAGCTAGCAATTTCTCCCATAATCCGATTTCTCTGCTTGAAAAATATGACTGCTATGTTTTATTTCCTAAAAGCCACAAAGCAGTGATGATTTAGAAAGCATTATATCATCGAAAACAAAACCACCCAAAGTAAAAAGAATCGGCATAACTGCATCTACACTCCTACGAAAATCCCTTATGATGATTTATTTGCATGTATTAGTCAAAGTATTATTCAAAGGAATTTATGCGGAACAAATCAATTAATCTACATTCACAGTACTAAATAATATATTTTATCATAATTAAAGGACTCTTAACTGCTTAAGTCCACCAGTGACCGTTCAGACTAGCCTCTTAAGTTTGGTTCATTCTTTTCAAATTGAGTATTTCTCTGAGAAATAAGAACAAATATTGACCTGAAACTGAAAGAAAAAAAAGAAAGCATTATTAAAGCAACTAATGAAATTTAAACAAATCCACATCCCACTCCATACTGATAACGCAGGAACAACTGCCTTACTGTAAGCTAAAAATACCGTTCTGGAACATCCTGAAAGTCTCAAAGAAACGTTGGCAATTTTACATAGGCCTCAAGAAAAAATACGAAGCAAAAAAAAAAAAAAAAAAAAAAAAAAAGTAAACAAAAGAAGCAAAACAGGTAAAAAAAAAGTTCCATGAACAGAGAGCCTGGTATTTCAGCTCGTGATGGTACTAGGAGCTTGGGCTACAACGTAATTTGCTATTAAGATATTTACTAAATCGTGAATTATATTTGCAATTTCTGAAGATGCCATGAGATTTATCTAGAAAATAAGTAGCAACAAATGTTAATTCAAGTACATTATTCTTCAAACGGCACTTTTCAGTACACATACATGCATCTTAAAATATGTCCAAGAAATTAAGGCACTTTATTAAAAGTACATAAATCCAGGTTTAAGGTACCAGTGGAATTTTGGCATTAAAATGAAGGGAAAAACCTCTTTCTCATGGTAGTTTTGGAAAATTTGGTCTTTCGTAACGACACCCCTTGCCGGTCAGAGGGTTAAATCTATGTGACCTGATTATTTCCTGCATTGGATGAAGATGATTGGTAATACGCTATATAGCCTTGTCAAAAATACATTTTCCTGCAGAAAATTTCCAGAGAGATTGGAAATTCTGCATTGATGCAGATGCTTACTGAATAATGTAAATATAAGTACAATGAAGGCTTTTAAATACTTTCTTAGTAATTAAAAAAGTACAAGACTCATATTTCCTATATTTTGTTCAGTAATGTGGATTACAGGTTTACTTCATAATATTCACCATGCTTGGCTCCAGGTGACTTCTTTTTGCTTCAAAATCTGAAGCAAGATTAACGTGATTCAGGGTACAGTTACGTGATGTTTGAAAAATAGGAATGATTTGAAGGCTGCGACAAAATATTCTTTTTCTCTTTTAGAATCTGAAGCTGAAGAAATTGCTATGCTAAATCTTGCTTAGTATATTGAAGTAAAGGAGGAGAATGTAAAATATGATAAAGTAGTTTTAGACATTTATCTTATAGAAGTGTATTAAGATTAAAATTATTAAATGCCTGCGTAATTCAATAAAAGTTAATTCAGCAGACTGTTTGAGTTAAATTATTTATTACAGAAAACAAAAGTTATGTGATTAAATGATATAAAAGCTATTCATTCTAAAGTAACGAAAGCGAATGTGTATTAAATTGTGTCCAATAATGCCCCTATGTGTCGCGTATGGATTTAGGAGAACGACAAAATGAAATTGTTTTGTCATTAATTAAATTAGTATATTTCATTAGGAGAACTACATCTTTCCTGTTACTTGAAACATAAAATTGTTAGGAAGGCATAATTTTGAGAAGATAATGCATAATTCATCAACTTACCTCGAAATTAATGGTACCTCCATGAGACTGTTTGAAGGACTTGAACACATAATGTGCATATTGTGTGGAATCTAAGGAAAGAAAGCATATACTGCATTACTTTGATTATATTAACAACATAAGCTGATAAAGACACATTACTTATTGTAGATAGTATTTGAGAAAATTTCCTGAGTATTTATACAAACTGATCGAAAAATTAATCAAAATCACTTCAGTGATATTTTCAGAAGCTAATGCAGTGCTTCTTTCATTAAATGAAATAATGCGGTTTCATTTGCTTCCACGTTTTAAAGTCTGTCTATGATATGGACATAGTAGATCTAACTATATGACTCCGTTTGAAGCATTCAGTTTTTGGATTCAGTTTAAAGCATGACAAAATGTGAATATTTTAAAACAAGTCTTGATTTATTGGTTAATCTTTCAGTTTATGTATTTTTTTTATTTCCAATGGCCGGCACTAGCCGTTGTGATACCGTTGACCACAACTAAGGACGGATGCGGAGGTTACTTTATCATGGAGATACTTAACAGGTGGGCCACCGCTGCTTCCTATTAGGGACACATTAATTTAAATCCATGCCTATTAATTTACATCCATGTCTATCAATTTACATCCATGCCTTCTCCAGGACTCGAACCCGGGCCCTTTGGTAAGGCAGTCAGTGTCATTAACCTCTTTTGCGCCTGGGCGGCGTGCTCATGTAAATACGAATACTTATTTTACATTACTGCTGCGAAATTTGTCATTTATTTAACCAGTGTTTTTTTTTCTTAATTACAGTTAATGAATTTCATTTGGCTTTAACCAAATGAAATTCATTTTATTCAGGCGACTGCTAACTGCTGATAAACAAAATCCAGATTTAAATAAATTGTTTTTACGAAGTTGTTTTTATAACTAAATAAGACTGATTAAAAACTTTTATTTAGTGTTACTGAATTCTGATATTCGCAATTTTCTGACAATTATTACATTCTCTGTATTAGGTAATTATTATGAATATTACTCGATAGGTGAAAGAAAGGGTAATCAATGGAGTAAAGCTGCAGGTTGATGGAATTGCTAAAAAATTTCACATTCTTTGAAACTATCTTGACAGAATGGTACTTATGAAAACTTAATCATTATTTTGGCAAAAACATATTTTTGTAGTTTTACTGAAACATAGAGCATGCAGACAAGTGCAATTTCCACCTATCTAGAAAATCCAATTACAAGTAAAATAACCAACAAAGTACATCATCATGATCATAAAACTGAAACACTGCGAAAAAAAGCAAGCATTATCAGGAAGAACGAACCTACTGAAATAAGACGGTAACAAATGCAGGCGGTTGCAAAATACACATTTTAGGTTATGAAAAAAGTTATAACAATCCATTTGGCAGTGCAGGAAAGCGAAGTTTGCTAATCTACGAACGTGGTGTGTGGTGCATTTAATTATGGCAAAGCACACTAGGGCCTAAGGGGAGGGATGCCTTTCGTGGAGGACTTTCTAAGGGAAACTGGCTCGTATATACGTTACACATGCGGAAAACCACGAAAACACCCATGCAGCCAGCCCGTTCGAGGGCTTCGAACCTCGGACCGAACTACCAGTGTTCAGCGACTTTACCGCTCGGCCGCTGGTGGGCCTAATATACGAACGCAAGAATAGCAATGAGTATTACTCAAATTTAGTTTACAAGCTAGAATATCACTATATGCTTAATTAGAGAGGCATGATAGCCAACGAACAAAATTATTTAATTGAATTCCATGACCGTACGTTTATAAGGCACGTACTCTGCATGAATATAGCAAGAAAAAGGAAATGAAATGAAGCTGGACTGCTCAAAGACAGATAAAACATCTGCAGGCTGAAAGATTTCAGATTAGATTTTTTTTCAAAATTATAATATTTTTATCATCACATTTCTTGCATGTGAGCCTTCTGCACTGAATAAAACGAAGGTAATAATTCTAGTGCGATTTGATGATTTATGGTATAGCATATGCAGTTACGTTATAGCGTTACAGTTGGTTGAAACTTCGGCTTATAAATTTAATTTGTGATGTTCATAACTGTAAATATTAGAACAGTTATTTATCTTAACTGGGTTTTATCATTACTTCAAAATGTCCTTTTGAAAATAGCTGATGTAATCGTGAAGTTAACTTACTATGTAATGACTGCCCATGAAAATCTCGCAGAGAAACGAGTGCTGAAGGAAAACACAGTAGGAGGGGTAAAAGGCAGGAAGGGAAAATCGCAGTTTTAAAATACTGTCGTCCAAAATATGATCTTCAAATGTAAATAATTTACAAAATATTGCGTGATGATAACAGCACAGACATATGTTATTGAATCTTAAAAGCTTCAAATGTACGTTCGCTGTTGCAATATGTAACGTTTGAGAGGGCGAGGAAAAAAAAGGAAATAATTTTTCACATATTATTTCAGATACTTTAAATTAATTAATAAATTCTAAATAAACAATAAGAAGAAAATTTAAAGATAAAAAATTCGGAAATGTTAAAAACGTCAATTGTGTATAGCAACACATAGGAGAATTTTAACTTACGCATTTAACTTCTAAGAGCACTTATTTAATTATATTTTGATAAACTCGAATTAGCATTTGCATATTTGTTGATAAACACGTATTTGTATTGATTCAGTTTTTACAAATCCGTACTGGCAGATTTTTGTTTTCCATGACCAAGAAGGATTTGCGCCTCATTACCTCGAAAGCGAGAGTTTTGATTAAAATCTACTCCAAGCATAAAAATTGCTTTTTTGCCTAATTTTTATATATCAGTAAATTTTGATGAAACATGAAGTAGAAAAATTATTCGTAAACGTAAACTTGTATTAAATTTACATGTGAGGAAGCTATGCATGCCAGATTTTTTTAGTCTCTGGAAGTTTTCTTCTTTATTTTTCAGTTAAAAAGTATTATTTAAACATTATAAAATTGAAAATTCTGGAATAGTTTCTACGAAATACCTGTTTTTTCTCGCTCTCAAAAATCGAATCACATGTTTAAAGCGTTTAAAATCTGAAAACTTATGGCTACAATTTTATCTTCATGCAAAGTTTCGTCAGGAGTTTTATTTTTAACGCGATGTTTTATGCAACAATGATTTAAAATTCAGAAGTAGTTATTGCTACTTTCCTTTTCTACCACAATGCTCTGTCCTGCTGTGTTTCAAAACTGCGATGTTTTTAGCTTCTTTTCCTACAATGAAGTTTGCAAAAGAATGGGACCGCCTTGCGGGCCACTCTGTCTTATAATCCAAAATCTTCAGGCTTAAAATATTCTCAAACTATACTGATTTGCATTGTGGTAGGAAAACAGGAAAGAGAAATGGCAAAAGCTGAAATTATAAATAACTGTTATGCAAAGTAATAGTAATCTTACACATTCATAAATTTATGTTTTGTATTAAAGTAATCATATCAGCCATTTATCACGCTTTACCTCAGTTTAAAGCATAGAGAAAAAATGATTATCACTTCTGAAAAGCGCCTTTAAAACAGTTTTGAAGCTCATTTCAACAGAGTGCGGCAGGGAAAGTATCTTATTTTAAAAGTGAATAACACAAATAGTATAAGCGATATCAGTTTTATTTTTTTTTTCAGGTTATAGAGAGACACTCAAAGTTTTTTTTTATTACGGTTTAAAAATAATATCATTAAGGTGGCCTCCGTTCTGGTCAATGTATTGAGATAGTCGAGTTTTGAAGTTTCTTTCCACTTTTACCATCATATCAAAGGGTGTGTTGTCGATAGCAGCTTGAATATCGTTCTTCAGTTGAGCCGGGGTCTTTGCACGTTAGAGATTTCAGATAGCCCCACAAAAAGAAATCCCACGGGGCTAAATCAGACGAGCGCGCTGGCCACTGACAGTCGCCTCGTAAGGACATAAGGCGTCCAGGGAAATGCTCTCCAAAAAATTATGGTCCAATGATGATTATTCTGGAGAATGCACACCAAACAGTTACACGTTCTGTATGGAGGGGCTGCTCATGAAATTTTCGGGGATTCGTGCCACTCCATTGTCGCATGTTTTGCTTAATACATACTGCAACTGGAAAGATGAAAATGAGCCTCATCTCTAAAGAACACAAGGGCATCATGAGGCGTATTGTCAAGAACGGCTTTGAATGCATTTTTCCTGAAAGAAAATCGCGTGGATTAATTTTTTGTACCACTACCAATTTACATATATGAATGAAAATGCAGTACGTTGAAAAGTACGACTCCACGGTGAACGCGCGCTCTTCTCTCGTCCACTGCATGATCAGTACTAAACGTACATGACATTAAACTTTAGATACCGCTCTTTTCAATGATCGCCACCCCACCCTTCTCGGAATAAATGTCGCTAGATGGCGTGCATTCCAAATAAGGAAGTTCCTCTGCTGCACCCTGTATAAGACATTCTTAAAAGTAAGCCATATTTATTTTGCACAATATTTTCAGATAAACAAAAAGATAGATAAAACATTTTTGCACAATATTTTTCAGATATACAAGCAGAAAGATATACTCTTACATTCGGGACCATTTATAATTTTATTTTGCTTTGAAGTACATTCATTACGATAATGTGTAGCTTCGAAATGCAACAAACTGAAACTATACCATGACAAATGTTTTATACAAATCTATGTTTGGAAACTCTGTCGTTATATTTCCAGCACTATACACAAAACTGTTGTTCTCTACAGAGGAAACATATCTCTACGAAGCAATATTTGAAATAAGGCAAAACGTGGCACGCATGTAGATAACTGAGTCGTGAAAAATTATTTCAAGCATTACATGTGCTAGTGGTTAAATATACAGGCAGCTGAGGAACTAGTGCGCCCATCATTTTAGGTGACGTAATCGTTATCGCCATGCAATTTATTTGAATCTGTTGCATGATTGCAGACCATAATGATATTAAGCAAAATTCCCATTTCGTCGTTGTTGAAAGGTTTATTGTGATCTCACACCCAATTCAACTTCATCGTTAATGATAAAATATCATTTATAATGCTCTACTTTATTAGTATGCTTGGAAAAACAACTGT